TGGCCGGTGGTGGCCGGAGGCCTGCGGCTCATCGGAGAGGTGAGCCTGGAGCTGGAGGGATGCGGCGTGAGCCACCTGTGCTCAGCTGTAGGGGACGTAGCATGGGGGGAAGAGGGTCCCCCTTCCCTGCTGTCACCGCTCCCAAGCCCGGCCCTGCTCCTTGGAGCCCTGGCAGGCTCAGGGCACTTGTGAGGCAGCTGAGCAAGCGGTGCATCCCCTGCTGTCTACCTGCAGCCCGTTTCCATGTCTTCCCCTCCCCTCACAGGTCATCCACATCTTCTCTCACATCCACCAAACGTACGTGATCTACTCCCTGTCCCTGGATGGGGATGTGACCCTGGACCCTGCCTTGTCCCCAGCCCGCTGGGTGACAGAGGAGGAGTTCCATGCCTCAGCTGTGTCTGCAGCCATGAAGAAGGTACTGGGGGGACCCGGGCCTTTCCTCCCTTCCCTCTGTCTCCCTGGGGTCCTGGGCATCCCCCCAATCTCTGCAGGCTGTCCTGGCTCCAGGATCCGGCTGCAGTTCATCTCTGAACTCTCCTGTGCTTCCTTCAGGTGCTGAAAGCGCGTGAGAAGCAGCGTGGGGAGGAGCACAGCCCTGGCAAGGTGGGCATTGCTGGAGGGTGTGCAGCCCTGGGACCCGCTCCACGTTACGGTGGGCCAGGCCCCAGTGAGCAGTGCTGGAGCCTCCCTGGGCTCTGGGGTCAGGCCAAGGAGCATCCCCAGCCTGGGGCAGGGCTGGGTCTGGAGCTTTGGCTTTGCCCCTGGGTGTCCCCAGTACGAGGCAACCTCTGGAGGCCGTGGGGGCCCTCGGGGCTTGGCTTAGCCCTAGTGTGTGTCTCCCACAAGGGCTCCAAGCGGAAGCGGGGGGCAAAGCCGCAGGGAACAAGCAGCACCCACCCTGGGACACAGCTCTCCCTCCGTGCCTTCCTCCAGACACCCACCTTGGTGTGACAGCACCTTTAACAGCTGAGACCACCAGAGACCTGTGCTGTGGTGAGTCGTGCCTCGGGTGTGGGCGTGATGTCCCCCATACTGCTTCGTGTCCGGCCTGCAGCCCCGAAACAGTCTCCTGCCACCCCCTTGTAGAGCCCACCAGCTCCTCTGTGGGAGCTGCTCCTTAACGTGGCCACTGTGGTCCTAGACATGACCCAGAGCCAGGCTTGCTCTCCCCGCTCAGCTGGAGCCCTCCTGGGGTCCCTTGGTCCGGTACAGCCACCGCTCCGGCACTGTGGACTCACAGCAGCAGAGGTTTCTCTCCAGCAGCAGGAAGGCTGTGGCTGCATCGCTCCCCAGCCCGTGCTTGCCTCTTGGCCACCAGCCAGTGAGCGTGGATGCCACCGTACCCTTCCCAGCCTCCAACAGCCCTTTTTATACACTTGTTTTTACTGAACCTGAGCCACGGGCTTTCTAACAATAAATCTCCTAAAGTGTGTGGGTTTTAAGTGGCTTTCTGCCTCTGTTGCGCTTGTGCTACCACAGGCACCCTGTGGTTGAAGATGAGGATGGCTGTCGGGACGTGTACGTCTCAGCTGGGGACAGCAGTGACTTCTGGGTTAATGCACCCGTGAGTCCTTGGCTGAGTGTTAACTGCTGGTGACCCCAAATAAGGCACCCAGAGCACCTCTCCTGTGAGGGCAGGCATCAGCCCCAGGGGCTGCACAGCTCCTGCCCATGAGCTGCTCCTCTGTGGGGCTGAGCAATTGTCCCCATGGCTTTTTGTAGGGGTTTTAGCCCCCCTTTTCTGTCAGGCTGTTTCTCTGCTGTGTTCACGCTGTGGCGTTCCCAGACTGTGACGCAGAGTAGCACCCTCGCACAGGCACCAGCGAGGTGGCTTTTCCCTGGGGTACCAGGGGTTGTCCTCCTGGGGTGGGCAGGGACACAGGGGCCGGTCCTGGGGGATGCTCAAGGGGCAAGTGGCCTTAGTGTAGGGCCTGCAGGACTGGGGACAGCCCACCTCAAGCAGCGGAAAGGCCCTTTCATCATCACCTGGCCTGCAGCAGATCTTAAATGGGAGGAGAAAAAAAACCCAAAGCAGTGCTTGCAAGTTAATTCTTTAATTGAGGCGAGGAAGAGGCTGGTGCTTGTCCTGCACAGGGGCTGGCAGTGCTCTGGGTGGTGACCGCTGATGAGCTGCCATGTCCGTGGCCCCTGGGTTCTCCACTCCCCTCTGGCAGCCCCTCATTCCCCAGCTGGGGGTGGTGGTGTGCCAGCAGTGTCCTTGGCCATGCTGCAGGCACAAGTGTCATTAAATTAAGTTAAAATTATGGCAGAAAGTTCTTCATGTGAGGTCGATAAATCACTGGGAACCCAGGCAGGGGAGAAATCACCCTCCAGCCTGGGGTACTGGTCAGAGCCCTGCTGGACCCAACCCTGAGCAACCTGCTCCCATGCTGAGTTGGCTCTGGGTTGACGTCCTGTGGTCCCTGCCCACCTGAGCTATGCTGCAGGCACCCCTGGTATCTCTACAGCAGCGTATTGCCCCGGGGCTGGACCAGAGAGGATGGGCAGCTGAGGGAGGAGGAGCTGAGAGTGTTGCCACTACTGCTGCTGGTCCATATAGATCTGCACAGCTTTCCACAGTGCCCGTATATTGCCTTCCCCAAAGCCCGGCGCTCCTCTCCGGTCAATGAGCTCCAGGAAGAAAGTCTCCTCAGAGAAGATGGGATGGGTGAAGATCTGCATCAGATACTCCTGGGAAGGGCTCTCTGTGGCATCAGTGCCTGGCCGACCCTTGTCCCCAGGCACTGCGGTGTCCAGCAGGATGCCCAGCTCTGCCAGTGCCTGGGGGTCCTGCCCGGCCCCCCGGATCTCCTCCTCTTTGCCCCCCTGGCTGTAATAGGCTGTGGGGGGTGTGAAGAACCGTGCACCCCCTTGTTGCAAAGCCCTGGTCGTGGTGATGATGTCGGTGGTGCGGAGGCCGACGTGCTGGATCCCAGCCCCACCATGCTGCTCTAGGAAGGTGTCGACTTGGTTCGTGCACTCCTCCGAGAGGGACTCAGCGAGGACGAGCTTGCAGCCGTGTGCTGGGGCACCCTGGGCGCCCTGCAGCGCGAGGAGCCGCATGCCCACCCCCTTCCCGCCGAGCACGTACCCCCCAGCTGGCCTCTCTCGAGCCGAAGCAGCGCTGGTACCAGTCCAGGGCTGCCCGGGTACCGCCCGGCGGGCAGACATACGTGATGTGGTCGAAGTGCGTGATCTCAATCCCGTCCCCCGTGGACGAGGGGGCTCCCTGGATGGGCTGGAAGCCAGGCAGGAAGGGTCCCCGGTAGTGGGATCGGTCCAGAAGTGTATGGCTGATGTTGCCCACAATGGAGCTTGCCACCCCATAGGTGACGGAGCCGCCATGATCCCTCACCTCCGTGGGCGGCACCGGCAAGGAGCATCCCTGGCTCTGCAGCCACTTACATAGCCCTGGCACATCATCCACCTCAAAGCAGATGTTGGAGGCCGTGCCCAAGGCGGGCTGGGGGTCCACGTCATAGAGGAAATTGTGGGAAGAGGCACCGGCAGGGGCCAGTGCCAGGCGCTCACTGACGCGG